TTGAAAGGGTAAAAACCTATTACCATCTTAGCCAGTTCAAGCCTCCTCTTTGTAAACCACGTGACTTCCATGTGGCCACCCCCACTCTCAATCCCTCCCCGACTCCCTGCCACCGCCCCCTGTGAGAACAGACGCTGCTCCTCTTCCGTGCAGCCTACTTCTGCTCACTCCTTCCCACTTCTCCCTCTCTTCCCTCCCTCCCTTCTCATCATCATCACCACCCTCTCGTCCCCGACATCTCGGCACCATCGAACTTCGAACAAAGACGGTCACCGCATCGCGCACTTTCAGATGCGATTCTGCGGCTGTCTGGAACGCTCTTCCCTTTTCATATCAGGAAGCTACTGGAGAAATGCACTTTTAAATATTACTGGTAGGAACCTCCTGGTTACACCAGCCTACAGGGGATTATTGTGTCCGTCCGTCGTGCAGGGAAGGGCTGGGTGGGGGGAGGGGGTGGGGCTTGGTGGGGAGGGTGGGGCTGGGTGGTGAGGGGAGGGTGGGGAGGGGCTGAGTGGGGAGGGTGGGGCTGGGTGGGGGGTGGGAGGGGTAGGGCTGGGTGAGGAGGGACTGGTCACCTCGTGGTGCCCTTATAAAACTCAACGTTTAACCTACTCACGCCGGCTTGTGCCCGCCCTCACAGTCGGGCATATTTGCGGAATACACCACGCCGACGTTGACCCTGACCATTGACCGAGCAACCCAACGTTCCTACCAGCTCCCTCCTGTGTTCTAGATTGAAAACTCATTCCTTTAAAACTGCTTTTTGTGTTTAGTTTGTTGTCCTTCCCCCGCACCTCCGATTTGCCCCGTTGCCCGGCACTTATTCTCTCTTCCTCCTGCTGCTCATCTTGAGCCGTACCCTCCTCTCTGTCTGTCTTGGGGACCTACGCCCCAACCTCCCTTCCCTCTCACGCCCATCTTGCCCCCCGGTCTGCTGCCCTATTGGGCAACTGGCTCTACTCCCCATCGCGTGGTGGTGCCACGGGTCACGCTGTGAGCGTCTTGACTTTGGGGCCATAGGGAACAGGGATGGACCAGCAGGGGCAACACAAATAAACTAAACTTTTTTCTTTTTTTTTTATCAGGTAAGACCCACTGAGATATACAACGCCCAACGAAGTGGCTAATCATGTGAGAATTTACAGCAGCTAAATACTCTAAACGCGTGATGTTCATTCTAAATGTGGAGGGGAAAAACCGGAGGACCAGGAGGAAAATCCACGTGACCACGGCCAGAAAGACACGGAAACTCCAAATATACAGCAGGCGTCATGGTTGGAATCGAACCAATGACATCCTGTATACCTGGCGAAGTAGCTAACATCTCGCCACCGTGGCGCCCTAATGCGTGCGTGCATCGTAAAGTTTTACTTGAAAATATACAACTTTCATGCCGGTTTGTTGGACTTTAATGTCCCAATGTAATGTACAAAAGAAATGCCAATTTTCCTTGGAACAGCTGCACTCATTTGAGTTAAACGGCAGTTTATTTTTTTATTTTTGTGGGTCAAAGTGAAGACGTATTTTGTCGACATTTTGAATGTCGTGCAGTTTGAAAGAAGCGCGCCTCGTTACATCAAAGGGTGCATCGTGGCAATCACCCGACAGGTGTTTGTGATGAAGACGTTACTGGCAGGAAATAGCAGGCACTTAATGGATATGAGAGTCTCAATGCAATGTCTTGAACATTATTGAATTCAGCAAGCACGGCTTTACTGGTTCAAAAAGGAAGATTACCCGACTCAGGCACCTAAACATACACAGATACACACAAGTACAGTCTCCAAACCTTGTTATCAACGACATGATCGCGTCTTGAAAACTCACCTCTTTACGTTGCTTTTCACGCCCTCGTTCTCCCCGTTCACCCTGGCTCTCTTTATTTCCTCCTTTTCATGCACAGCGCATTGGGACCCTATGGATGAAATGCGCTTTACAATGTAAATTAGTATTATTATCATTAACATATCAGCGGAAAACAGGCTTTCTCTGCACTGGTCTACAGTGTGCGAGAGGGAGCTGTCCAATAAAAACAATGAATGTTTTATGTTAAGGCTCATTGAGCATTATCGCTCTTTTTCAGAAGCAACCTGGTCTCAAATGATGGCTCAAAGAAGTGGTTTATATCACGTGGAAATTTTATAGCAGCCAAATACTCTAAACGCGTGATGCTGTGAAGGGACAAACCAGAGGACCCGGAGAAACATCCACGCGACCACGGAGAGAAAGACAAGCAAACTCCAAATATACAGCAGCAGGCGTCAGGGTCGGGATCGAACCCACGACCACTTGTACACCAGGCGAGGTAGTTAACATCTCCTAGACACCGTGATGATGATGAGAGAGACACTCAAACTCCAAATCTACAGCAGCAGGCGTCAGGGTCGGGATCGAACCCACGACCTCCTGTATACCAGGCGAGGTAGTTAACATCTCCTAGCCACCGTGATGATGATGAGAGAGACACGCAATCTCCAAATATACAGCAGTAGGCGTCAGACCTCCTGCACACCAGGCGAGGTAGTTAACATCTCCTAGCCACCGTGATGATGATGAGAGAGACACTCAAACTCCAAATATACAGCAGCAGGCGTCAGGGTCGGGGTCGGGATCGAACGCACGACCTCCTACATTCTGGGCGACCGAAATAACATCTCACCATCGTGGCGCCCCCTTACGCTTTCTCTGCATCGGTGCAGCGCATTGCGTGTTGCCTCTATTGCTGTCTTGTCAACACAATCAGGTGATTGTGTTGGTAGGACACAATCACCGGATTGTGTCTTGCAATGAATGAACCAGGCAACCCACAATGCACTGGGCCGAACAATAACGAGCCTGCGGGCAGCTGCAGAACATTAGTGCTTCCACTGCTGTATGGCGGTGAAGATTGTTGGCAAGATACAGTAGATTTAGCTGTGACGGTCCCACCTGATGACGGAGATTCTAGATTTGAAGCTTTCGTGACTGCAAGGATTCATACTCTTAGTTCTTTCGGTAAAGTCACGTAGGTAAAAAATGAAATAAAAAATAATAAAATAAAACAATGAAAATCACGACGTTTCGGAGGCAACACAAGTCTCCGTCATCAGGTGGGACCGTCACAGCCAGATTAGCTGCATCAAGTGATGCAACACAAGTCTCCGTCATTAGACGGAGACTTGTGTTGCCTCCGAAACGTCGTGATTTTCATTGTTTTATTTTATTACTTTTTATTTCATTTTTTACCTACGTGACTTTACCGAAAGAACTAAGAGTATGATGACGGAGACTTGTGTTGCCTCCGAAACGTCGTGATTTATTATTTTATTTCTATTATTATTTCTTTTATTTATTTTTATTTTTACCTACGTGACTTTACCGAAAAAACCTAAGATTTTTAACCCAGCGGCGTCGGCGTTGTGAGCTCTGTGAACATCTGGCACGTGTCGAAAGCCACTGGGAGCTATGCACTTTTACATCATCGAGATTGATGAACTCATTTCTGTATAATTTATTTTTGTGTTTGGTTTCTTGTCCTTCCCCCGCACCTCCGAAATAAATGCAACATACATACAGGACGAAACATTCCGTAGTTTTATCGACAACATTAAATACGTAATTTAATATTTAGATCAGTCATTTTATACCGTATGTTGACTTATTAGCATTTAATATTAGGATATACGAAGTTTATGAAATATTGTACTCTATCTTGCCCAATATATAACGGAAAAGAGAAATCAAAACGTAGCAACAATTGTGATTCCGTAGGTAGGTAGGAAAGAGTTGCATTACATTCTGCATTGCGATGCTCACGATTTATTCACAAAATAGGTCACGCAGGCAATGAATGTATCTCCTTTAATTCATACATCTCTCTCTCTCCACACAAACATACACATTGTGTCAGTTTAACACATAGGCTTTCGCGACCAGAATCATCCATAATTTTTTTTAAAAAATTGTGTTAGATGGCGTAAATATATTAACGACACATTAATATATCAACGCGATCTAACCCCAAAAAACCCTGTATTATGGATATATATTGTGTCTGTTTACACATCCGACGGGTTGTGTCGAAACGAAGTGAATGTTTCTTGTGGAAAGAGACGACGAGGAAGAGAGCTGCCCAGGTCGCCCTCGTCATTCGCGATCTCAGCAGCGACGCTCCCACGACCGCCCTCGTCACTCGCGGGCGTCATCGCTTTGTCCGCTGACCACGTGGGCCCAGGTCGCATCCCGCTTGCCGCGTGCACTGCCGCCTCCTAGCGGCCACCCTCCCTCGCCTCGCAGCCACGCCCTCAAGCCTCGCAGCCACGCCCTCAAGCCTCGTAGCCACGCCCCTTCGCCTCGTAGCCACGCCCTCAAGCCTCGTAGCCACGCCCTCAAGCCTCGTAGCCACGCCCCTTCGCCTCGTTGCCACGCCCTCAAGCCTCGTAGCCACGCCCTCAAGCCTCGTAGCCACGCCCCCTTCGCCTCGTAGCCACGCCCTCAAGCCTCGTATCCACGCCCCTTCGCCTCGCAGCCACGCCCCCAAGCCTCGTAGCCACGCCCCCAAGCCTCGTAACCACGCCCCCAAGCCTCGTAGCCACGCCCCATCGCCTCGTAGCCACGCCCCCAAGCCTCGTAGCCACGCCCACAGCACCCGGAGCCCCGCCCCATGGCGCTGTAGCCCCGCCCTTGGCTTTGGAGTCCCCAGCTCGGTGGCCCCGCCCCTATGCCTGGAGCACCTCCCACCAGCCCCTGGAGCTCCGCCCACACCTCTGCAGCCCCGCCATCAACCCCGACCCCGGACCCTGAAGCCCCGCCCTCCGGCTTTGTTGTCCCCGATAATTAGCTCCGCCCCCTGCCCGTAGCCCCGCCTCTAGCACATTGGGCCCCACCCCCATATCAGTGGCCCCGCCCACATATAAGTGGCCCCGCCCCCCAGAGCAGTGGCCCCGCCCCCCAACCGCCCTGTAGCCCCGCCCTCGTAGCCGTGGCCCCGCCCCCGGTGAAGCGGACTCCAGACCGTGCAGACAGAGGGAGCAGCAGCAGCAGTTGCTGCTGCTACAACGGAGAAGAATCAGCGGGGTGGTGGTGGCGAGGAGCGTGGCGAGCGCGCTGCTGGTGACGCTGCGGAGTGATGGAGCTTCCGCCCACGATGGAGGTGAGTCGCGTCCCCGGTGCGCTGCGTCTTGTCGCCGTTGTCGGCGCGTGAACGCAGCGGCACGAACAATGCGCAACGCGCACAGCAAGTGATCGCACCGCGTGCGAGCGAGCGATGGAGCGAGTGCATGCGACTAACACTCCTGTTCCGGGGGCCGACACAATGAGCGCAACTCTCGGACGCCAACACGACTCCTGACTTCTCCTTCCCGATGGATGTACTTGGCCTCTTCCGCGGGAATGTGGAATTGCCACCAAATGGCTCGTAAAGTTGCCGCTTTGAGCCCAGCCGGGGCGGGGGGGGTGCTGGCTCGGCGTTGTTCCTTGTGGCTGGAGGCGCCGGATTGAATGTTCCCCAGACGAGTGGGTGGCGAGGGAGCGTGGGGGGAGACTCTGACCCCCCCAGTGGGTTTCCCTGGCGCGGCACTCTGGTGGGAGTGTGGGACGAAGCGATGTGTGGGAACTCTCATTCTCTCCCTCTCCCGCTCTCTCTCTTCCACTTGGAACAGACTCTGCGTATTTATTTGGACTTCGGGGTGAATGCCGATGAGCTGTGAGACTCTTTCTCACAGATGTCCAGTCGGTGCGGCTCAGAACGTCACGACAAACAAACTACACAAACACAAACACGATGGGAGTGCAAAGTCTAGGATGTGTCAACAAATCACTTGCAACATATTCAAGTGAAACTTCACTTTAGTTTTGTATCTTACCAGGTAAAGTCCGCTGAGCTTTTAGCTTCTTTTACGGAAGCGACCTGGCCACGAATGGTTGTTGCTCAACGTAGGTTCGACGGCTCGGGAGCTCACCCTCTCCCAGGACTCTTAACCCGCACCTCCCCCAAGGACTCGAACCGGCACGCACTCCCAGCCCGACGCAGATCCGACCGTGCCCGTCCAGTGCTCGCCAAGCCGCGTTGGCTTCCAGGTGCAGATACAGGAGGGTCACTTGGGAGGGTAAGTGCAAGGTCTGCTTTGCATGTATGTTGAACTTCTTTCGCACCGTACGTAGCCAACCATCATCGGAGGTGTGTCGCACTCGTTACACACACAAAGCGCTCGCCTCAAAAGTGAACCACGATACCTCGCTGGTCTCATCAAGGAGCATAAACCACCACCACCACCACGCGAACTGCGGTCATCCTCGAAGCAGTGGGATTTGGCTGGCCATCGAACAAAGGCGCCTGTCACCGCGTTCTTTCAGACGCGCTTCTGTGGCCGTCTGGAACCCTCTCTCCCGATATTGGAAAGCCGCTGCAGCTGTGCGCTTTTAAATGTAAATTGGAAACTAAATTTTTTCTTTTGAACTGCATTTTGTGTTTAGTTAACATTTCCCCGCACCTCCGATTAGCACGGTTGGCTACGTACGGTGCGAAAGAAGTTCCAGCGTGCGTACATAGCCCAGGCCTACCGCTCATACCAAGGCCGTAGCAATGGAGTCAACATTGGGGGGGACCAAATCTTCCAGGGGGTCTGGGGGTCCCCCCCCCCCTCAGAAAAAAAAATCTAAATTTGAAAACGAATTTCCAGCCATTTCCTGCCTCGAATAATTTAAAAATTCACTAACACATAGGATGGACTTTTTATTTATGTTTAACAATAATGTCTAATAGTGTATTGTATTACATTGCTCTGTTTTTTTACCTTTTCTTGTTTCATTGTATGTAATGGCAGAGATTAGGGATTTATAAAATACAACCATAACCACAATCATATAAACAGAAATCTATTTTATAGCAATATATTCGGGGGGACATTTTGAGCATATATATTATAATGACGACCGCCTTGGCTCATACTCACCCAGGACTCCGACCCTGATGCAGGACTCCAACCCTCACGGAAAGGACTCTCTCTCTCCGTCACCCAGGAGACTGCACTGAGCCTGTGGACAACATTCTTTGCTTGGCTCCCATCCACACACGACTCGCCAACACATCGCTGCAGAGTGGGCAGGCAATCGTGAAGGCCGACTCGTCGCCACTTATGATGATGGCTCGTTGTTGAGCGTCACAGCACGTTGCCTGTGTCCAGCTCTTTGGCCAGTCTACTTGGTGGTGGACAGTCGTCTTCGTGTGGCTGACGTTGATGTTGAGCAACTGGAATCCCACACCAAGGTGGCCGAGCCAGACGATTTCATCATCAGCAGCAGCGGTGTTGTCCATCGCTGTTGACGATGCCTCCTCCTCCTCCTGCTTCGTGTGTTTGAGTCCGTTACATGTTCCGTATTCCATTCTGGTTGACCACAATCACCGTGCACTGGATATTTTTTTAATGCATTTTGTGCTAGGAATAATGATGAATCGAAGCGAAAACTTAACAAAAAGTACTTTACCAGGAGAGGCCTACTGAGCTGTGGAGCTCTTCTTCAGAAGCGACCTGGCCACACGTGATAGGTCAATGAAGTGGCTTATCACGTGGAAATGTATGGCTGCCAAATAGTCTGAACGCATGATCAAAATTTGGAGGGACAAACTGGAGCACACGCAACCGCGGGGAGAGAAACACACAAACTCCAAATATACAGCAGCAGGCGTCAGGGTCGGGATCTAACCCACGACCTCCTGTACACCAGGCGAGGTAGTTAACATCTCCTAGCCACCGTGATGATGATGAGAGAGAGAGACACCGCAAACTCCAAATATACAGCAGCAGGCGTCAGGGTTTGGATCTAACCCGCGACCTCCTGTACACCAGGCGAGGTAGTTAACAGCTCCTAGGCACCGTGATGATGATGAGAGACACGCGAACTCCAAATATACAGCAGCAGGCGTCAGGGTCGGGATCTAACCCACGACCAGTACACCAGGCGAGGTAGTTAACATCTCCTAGCCACCGTGGCGAGTATCCATCTGAGGAATGGAACAAATGTTGAGAAGACGTCCACTCATGGGAGATGGAGCGATGAAACCAGTTCCATATGCAGGTGCTGGGTGGATTGTCACATCGCAGGATTTTGAGAGGTGCAGATCCAGGAGGGTCACGTGGGAGGGTAGTGCAAGGTCTGCTTTGCATGTATGTTGAACTTCTTTTGCACCGTACGTAGCCAACCATCCTGATCGGAGGTGTGGAGAAAGGACAACAAACTAAACACAAAAATCAGTTCTAAATAAATGTGTTTGTCAATCTCGATGATGATTTAAAAGTGCATAGCACCAGCGGCTTGCTGATATCGGAAGGAAGGGCGTCCCAGACAACGGCAGAAGCGCGTCTGAAAGCGCAGCGTGGTGGCGATCCTAGAAACTCCGCAGCGAATGGTACCGCGTGGAGGTTTTCACAATGGGGGCGGCATCTTAGGGCAGGATGTCTCAAAGTGTGCCAGTGTGTCCCGTTCAGATCACGATTACAGATCGTGTGCGCGTGTGTGTGTGTGCGTGCGTTTCTCACAACGCGGGGGAGCAGTGGCGAATCTCGGGTCACCACGAACCCGGTGACCCGAGTTTGATTCCCGCTTATGGGCAACATCGGTGAATAATTATCTGAACCGGTCCTGCGGTGTGTAAACATCAGCATCGGGAGACAAAGGCGGTCGGGCGTGGTGCTGGCCATCCACCCCACTCATGTGCCGTGCCGGCCTTCATAGGTGCTCGCTAAGGGCACTTGCTCCGACAGTCTGTCCAAGGCTATCTGGGGGACCTTTGTCTTTGTGTTTCTCACACGAGATGGGAAGCACCGGTTGTAGTTGACGCCCTTCCTTAATTGGAATGTGTGCGAACAGCTTCACGTGGGAAGTGTTTACCAATCATCAGGGGCGAAAAGCGTGCCCAAACTTGAAAGGCATTGTTAGCATGGACTCGGACGATGGTAAGTCCGGGAGGGAACAAACTGGTTTAGTGAGGCCATCAATGATTTTGGTAATAATCGGCCCAATATAGCCCCTCTCGAGGGTGTTTGGCCTACTCTTCTTCCACTGTAGCTTGTGTTTTGTGTCACGGCTGAATGCATATAAATGTTTTTGTGGTGCTGCTGCTGCTACGTTGGCCGTTTATCCGTCAGTAACAACACCGAGGGCAATTGTCAGCTATTGCACTCGATACAATTTCATCTATAGGTTTCTAAAGAAAGCGCTATCACCGGCGATGTTTTGAGACGTCATTATTGAGGGGGGGGGTGTCTGACTTTTTGTGACGCCGTGTGACGAGGGGGGGGGGGGGGCGGTCAAAAATCGTCCAAAATCGCGTGACGTCATTTATGGACGGCCCCGTAATCCTTGCACGGCACAACAATTATAACCACCGCTGCTCACGCAATGCTTACATGGGCGGGAAACGAAGTGTTATCTTGAATGGAAATGATTCCTATCAAGGGGAGTGGTGGGGTGGGGTGTGTGTGCACGCGCGCACTTTTACGGAGCCACATTTGGAATGACCTCAGCCCGCGCGCAGCGCTTGCGAGCACATTGAGCTTGTGCCAGGCCGAGTTGGTGGTGACTGGCAAGCCCAGCTGACTGCCTGGGGCTTGTGGGTGATTTGACACCAGTTGGGAGAGGGTCGAGTGAATTGTGCATTTTTATTTTTATTAGACTCTTTCTAATCATTAATGCTTCCGTAAATTCAGTGCCGGAATTATCCTCGTAGCAAAAGTAGCTGCAAATGCTACGGGCCCCGCACTTTCAAGGACCCTGCCCGAACTCCTTTCAAGCTTATTTTTTACTTTTTAATTTCACCTACGTGACTTTACCGAAAGAACCAAAGAGTATGGGTCCTTGCAGTTACGAAAACTTCAAATCTAGAATCCTTTCAAGCTATCAATTCCGGTTCAGTGATTCTGCACTTGCACTATTGCTATAGTACTATACCGCCTTCAACTTGTATGAACGACTGGGTGTTTAAGGTTAGCGATTTGTCATATTATCTGGCTGTATAGAAAATGAAAAAATACAATTATTTCATTATGCAAGTTTAAAATTAATGTTTTAATATTTACGTGTTTTATATTTAGGGCCCCTTTATACCGTATTACACAGACCCCACACTAGCTTCATCCGGCACTGCGTACATTT